AATCGTTTTCCCCTAGAGATACTTACAGGCAGCAACTCAAGGTCATGTCTCAGTGCAGTCACATCAATCACCCTTTCATATCTTTCTTTGTCAAAAGGAGCACCAAACAATATATTGTCACGTACCTACACAATGCAAATTACAGTCATCAGCTCAAAGTCGCTTAAGACTAAATACTAGTGAAACCATTTAGATTCCGCATTCGGACGTATCTAAAAAGCACATATCATCATATTAGAAAACATATAATACATACCATACTTAAGATTATGTCAAGTGGATGATTTTTAAACTCTGCAGTTAGAAGCATACTATAAAAACAGAATCATATAAGAACTTACTGTTGCGTTAAAGATCCATGAAACTTGTGGAACATAAGCGACTGATCCTCTAAGAGTAACTATGGCATCAGACAATGCAGGAAGTTCCCCAAGCATAGCAGATATCAGGGAGGTTTTTCCTTCTCCTGTACTTCCAACTACTGCAACTAGACTCCCAACAGGTACATCCAAGTTGATATTTGACAAGGTTGGCCTTTCCGCCTGCAAATGTATATTGGTGGCTTAATTTTTGACTTCAATGACAATATGTAATGAAAGAAAGTAAAGAGATAAGGAACATAGGATGAAATAGACAAACGAGACCTTTGAATCCCATGAGAAGTATCCATTCCTGATTGAGATAGCTGGCTGCCCAGGTTCAATGGGAGGATTTGGTAAGAGAACTCTCTCTTCCGTTGATAATACCTCCTCCAGACGGGTTAAAGATACCTTAGCATTCACCGCCTACAAAATTCAAGTCTGGTAAGCATCTGGAACAAGTTATGACAATGAAGACATGTGCAAGAAATTACCTGAGTTATAATGTTTGGAAGCATGAACAAAGGGAAGCGAAGCACAGAAAATAGAGAAAGGGCCGTAAACGCTCTTGCAGGTGTCAGGTCTCCTCCAAGCAATGAGAAGACACCAAATGAAACAACAGTCACGAAAACGGGAATGCTGTTTAGTATGAACATATTGAACTGCAGAACAAATAGAAGACAAGAATGCATTAGAAAATTTACCATGAAAAGAACAAACTGAATACAGTTATGCACTCTATATAAAAACACCATGCATGTATACACATTGGTACGAAAACTGAGACAATTTTTAATGAACTAAAAGAAAGTACAGCAAACACCATAAACGTATCCTGATGGATGTCCTAATAGAAAGTATACTGTAAGGACTAAGGAGAGTAACAGGACAATCAGGAACACCATGCATACGGTTTACAGAAGCAGTCAATATAACAGTCACTGCTCCTAAACCTTACCGCTGAGAGAAGTTGTGCTTTCCTGAACCAAGATAATTCATCATCACGTACTGTTTGAACCTTGGACTGGAAGCTGTTTTCCCAAGCATAGCACCTACAGTATTGTGATTTAGTGAGTCAAGCATTACCTCAAACTTCAAACCATGCAAAAAAATAAAGATCAGTCTAATAAAAGTAACGTACTTCACTGTATCCATTGCAGCTAAAACCTCATTCATAAGGCCAATTCTCTTATCAGTACGCTGCAACCCTTCTTTTGTTAACTTCTGCGTTTTGCTTATAATAACAGTCTGTTTCAACGAAAATAAAGAAAAAGAATCATTTTCATTGAACAGTTAAGGTTGAGGAGAGAGAAGCAAGAGGAGGTAAAAAGAATTACTGGCCTGTATAGGGAACATAAGGACCAGGAACAATGCGCCTATGAGCGAGGCAACACCCAGTTGTTGATAAAGGAGAACCAATGATACAATTATGCGGAATGGCGCCGACCACATGGTATGAAGTGATTGGCAAATTTGCTGTCACAAACAGGACAAAATTTATAAAAATGAACAGCCTATCAAAATTAGCTTATTCAGATTCAGTCAAATATTTGCAGGAAAAGGATGATCTTGATAAATTGCATTTTAGACTCATATTCTGAGGTAAAAAGAAAGACAACAATGGAACAAATTGATATCTAGAACCATACAAAGCTACGGGACGAAAAGGTAACAAAGATATACACCTGAAGCGATTCAGCATCAGTTGTCATTAAGTTTGTTATTTTTCCAGTTTGAAACTTCTTCCGGCCTTCATTAGTTAACCTCAGAGACTTTCGGAACACAGCAGCAATCTATCAAGGGAGGAACTCATCATCAGAAAGACACACTCTAAAAGCATTTGTTATAGCTTTCAGCAAACATAGCCGCAGATATTTTGCATAATAAATTAGCAGAAGAAAATTGAGGTGAAACGTTAACTTACCAGTGCAGACCTTAGCCTGTAACCAACACGCATCACATTTTGGAAATATTGAGCTTCACACAGAACCCCCAATACCTGAAATTTTCAAAAACCAACATCAAGCGCTTGGACTCACTTGGTCAAAGTGGTACCCTAAACGACATTAAACAAAACCCCTTCACATACATAAAAAAACTCCAATATCTGCATCAGATTCTAACACAATCAAATGCTACGAATATTAGACTACGTTCGCAAAAGCAAAACTGGTGCCACAGTGCGTATCATCTACTAAAACATTAGAATTTGTTTCATCTCACTCCAACAAAGGTTGAAATGCAAGATAATTAAAATAGGCAGAGGAGAAAAGAAATTTGTAGCATACCACTCCAACAAAGATTGAGATTGCATAGATGTAACCTATCCAGGCTGGTTCATTAAGTTGCATTGACTGCAAAAAATTTAAGACCACGTTGTGAGACACCGTCAGAAAATAAAATAGCTAAAGGATGGTAGGATAATCTACCAAGAAGGTTTAAAAATAATTTTGGCTAGTCGAATATGGATCCAATGGGATGTAAATTTACAAAGCATTTAATCACCGTGACACCGTGTGCACTTGGGAAAGGGAAAGGGAACAAACCTTTAAGAGCTCATTCAGAAGAAGAGGCCCCACGAATTGTGAACAGTCATTCCCAATCTGTGATACAATTTAGATTAAAATGTCAAAACATTTGATTAGGAAACATAAGACCTCGAAACTAGAAGCCATCAATATTATCAAATAGAGAGACGTACCTTCCAGAACCCACCCCACCAAAACCTACAAAAATGCAGAAACAGGTTTACATAAGAGACAGTCCATAAGGATGAGAAATATTTAAGGACAGCTCTGCCACTCAACTCAAAACATACTTGCCTCAAAACCATAAGAGGTTTGATAGCTTCTAATTATTTATAGTGCATATGTTATAACAAGATGTTTTTTTTTATAAATAACACACATCATGTCAACGCCCAAACAAACAATCGTTATTCTGAAAAGATGAGAACACATGACAACAAAGATGTTTCGCTTTTACCTTCCTCCGAGGCTGTTGTTCAGTGCCCTCAAGAGCCACGGTTTGGGCTTTTCTAGTTCCTTTTCCCAGGACATCTGAAAGCTAAAAAAAAGGAGATAAAAAATATATCACTTAACCACACCAGTCGTGGACAGTATACGAGCGGTTACTATATGTCAAAGATTAATAATACCTCTTTATGAGGGTTTCAGTTCGATCCCACGTATCCAGATGCCACACATCCTTCTCCGTGAGAGGCCTTTTCGATCCCAGAGTCATCAATGGATTCAACCATGAGAAGAAGATTCCTGTGAGGAAAAAGATACTAGTGAGAAGGTATACAATAGTCAAAGTTCAACAAATGTTATTATACAATAGATGTTGCAGCTTCGGTCTTGTAGTCACGATCCAGTTTCCCTAAGTTCATTTCTAGGGAAAACCGGATGATTACAAATTGAAGAGACTGTAGACAACTCAATAGTGTTAAATGCTCTGAAGAATTACCAACTCAGATAGGTAGCAAGTACAGATGAGAGATCAGAGATGTTATGGTGATTCTCACAAGAAAAGAGAAAACAATATACATAACCAAATCCACAGGACGGAAACGAGAAGTAGGTAAAGTGACCTACTGTCAAATAAATTTGCATGCCTCTCAGGACATATTTGTTCTCCTCCAGGAAGCTCTTCATACTCGTAATCCTCTGTAGTTTCAGTCCGCACTGGTGTGTAACCAGCATAAGGATCCAAATTAGGGAAATACACAAACAAGAGAGTCCCAAATGCAACCTGAATCCAAAAGCCACCCTCTACGTCATTATCAAAATAGAATTGTTTTGGAGAATGCAAAAAAGGAGTGTCAATGTGCAAACCTGAACTGCCACCTCGCTTATGTAAAGATACAGTTTGAAACTGCAAAAAAAAAAAAAAAAGTTCATCCTCCCAGACCGAACATGAATAAACCATATATGGATCGCAGATTTACCAACCTGCCATAGTACTCCTTAACTGAGAGAACAAGATTCAACAACACCATGTCTCCCACAAGAGCATAAACGACAGCAAATCTGACATACCAACGAAGTTCGCGGATATATGTTTTAGTTTCAACAACAGTCATGACCAATGCAGAACCCCAAGCAAAAGCCTCAAGACCCAACATGAACCCCTGCCAAAGAAAGCACCAAAAAAACAGCATCTTTCAGGCAAAAGATACAGAACAACAACAACAAAAACGAAAAAAAAACAAATGATGTTGACACATCACACACACCTCATATGGAGGAAACCCAGCAGCATCCAAATCCAAGAGTGAGATCCTCATGACCAATCTAAACAAAGGCTGGGCAGTACTATAAGCAGCCAAGAGGGCCAGAAAATAGTTATACCATTTAGCCCTCAAGCAGAACTTATCCACTTTGTGATCCTTTAAGGTGAGCCAAATACGGTAAAGGCAGAGGATCAACAAAACCAAATGAGAGATGCCAAGCACAAAGGAGTCAATAGCACAAGGCGTGTATGCACCAAAGGCATAGTCAACCATCTTAGACCACACACCATTAGGCACAGGCTTGCAGTACCAATCCAAAGGCTCAAATCCCATCTTGTTGCTTCTTCCTCGTTAAGAAAAATAATCCCCTCTGCTTGCTTCCAAAGTTGTAAGTATCCACTCAGATGCTACACATCACAAGATACAAACAATCCTCTGGCCCTGCAAAATAGAATGGAATCAGTTTATTTTTATTTTTTAAAAAGTAAATGAACTTTTAGTTATAGTGAAAAAGAAATATGCTATGATTATGTACTCGATGAGAGGTGAGAATGAAAAAAAAACGAAAAAGACTAATATTCGTTTCGTAGGTGTAATAAATAAAAAGGGTGGAAAAGCTTTTTAGCATTTATTAGTGGATGCAAACTTTTTTCTATCCCCTGAATCATCGTCGAAAACAGAGACAAGCACCAATAAGTTTAGCTTTTGTATCCTACTATAAGCCATAGATGATTCTTTTAAGAAATTCTACAAAAATAAAAATAAAAATCAGAAGCTTAGCAATGATATGAAGAGAAGAAATAATCACGTGAGAAGCACGAAGTCGAAAGTGCTAACGACTTTTTCTCCCGAGGAGAAAACGAAACCTCCGTAGTGAAAGCGACGAGGGAGCGAAAAGTTTTTTGCCGGAGATTTGGAGGAAATCACGGAGATGTAAACTGAATCTAAAAAAAAAAAAAAGATTTGGGTCTCTCTTTCTCTTTTATCTCTGAGATTCGTTGCAGTCGCTGGTTATAATGAGATTGAGGGAGGGAGCAAAACGATGCGTCACTGCTTACAACTTGCTATGAAAAAGTCAATTTTTATATTGTAGATAGACGGAAAAGTCAAATAGATTCATAAGTAGCAACATTCACTACCTTTTTCTACTTACTTTATACTTTTCACATCTCCTTTTTTTGTCACAGAAAATTCAATTAAAGGATAATTTTCACATCTAATTTTCCACATTAAACCGCTAAAAACAAATCGGGCAAACCAGCCAAATAACTACTACTCAGGTTTATGTTAGATATGTTTTTCAGAAGATATTTGTTATTTTAAAATATAAGATGTTTTGCATTTTCTATGTTAACTTTAATTTTATTGCATGTTTAACCAATTAGATTATATATCTTTTTATAATTGGTCGAATTATTTTTAAAGACGCTTTAAAAAAAATTGATTATCTTAATTTTTGTGCTTTACTCCAAAACATCATATAATATATAATGAATCAGAGAGATTATAATTTTATTTTTATTAAGTAATTATGATATTTGTTACAAAAACATATTTCGGATTTTGTTCCCTAACTTGTAGTGCATAAATAATTATGTAGGAATAACTGATAAAATGTTAGAAATATTGTCGGAAGTTCATACTTAAAATCTGATACATTCTTTTGTTTTTACCTGAAGAGTATTTCTTACACTTTTATCAACAAATTAGATAATAAGTTGGTAATTAATAACTGATAAAAATGTAAAAAATATTGCAGGAAGTTTACAGTAGGAGGTCGAAGCATTAAACTGCAATTTCTCAGTCAAAAAAGTTCACACTTAAAATCTTATACAGTTATACGTTCTTTTGTTTTTACCTAAAGAGTATCTTTTTAAGTCAATAGTTGACAAATCTATGGCTTCAATTGGTGATGATGAAAATGAACAAAATGAAAAGAAAAAAATTGAACATATTTTCATTTAAAGAATTGAATTGAAAAAAAAGTTCAACATTTAGGAACAAACGTTCCTCATCAGTTTTAGTAGAGGAAAATACTCCTTCGTTAATTCCTCTAATTATGAGGAACATAGAGGAATGTGGTGGGGTCCATANCTATGGCTTCAATTGGTGATGATGAAAATGAACAAAATGAAAAGAAAAAAATTGAACATATTTTCATTTAAAGAATTGAATTGAAAAAAAAGTTCAACATTTAGGAACAAACGTTCCTCATCAGTTTTAGTAGAGGAAAATACTCCTTCGTTAATTCCTCTAATTATGAGGAACATAGAGGAATGTGGTGGGGTCCATAAAAATTAGTTTGACAAAAAAATCAACTTAATTGGTATCAATTTTGAGGAATAACAAAGCTTTGCATATTTTTTTCCTTTTTTCGGGTATCGGATGTTCTGTAAGTATCAAAGAACTATCGGAAAATGTTTTCTATATTTTTTTTGTGTCTAGTTATTTTACATAAAATTTGTCCACCAGTATTTCCTAAACCCATTAAAATAACTAAAAGCAATCTAATCAAAAATAAAAAAATATAATATTTGATTTAAACAATTACAAATATCAATAATATTTGATTTAAACAATTACAAATATCAATTAAATTCAAATTTCTTCATATATTGTTTAAAATAAAAAATAAAGCATTTTTAAAAAAATATATATATATATATATTAAATATGTTCTAATTCGGGTCAAAGTGATGTTCGACAAAAAAATAAATAAATGACATATTAGACAATCTAGGAAATTACAGAAGGCTTAAAAAGATGAAAAGAGTTATTAGCAACATAAAAATAGAAACAAAATTTTATGATGCTTTGACTAAGTAAATACGATCAAGAAATAGGATAATTGTTGGTCTAGTAATGATGGAGATTAATGGATAACTGATGAGATAGGGATGGAAAAGGTGACCGTAGATTATTCACATCAACACATCCATCGGACTTTGAAGATTTCCTACAGAAAAATACTGATAAGTATATTGTGCAATGAATAACATGTTAATAGCATTAGTTTCGTTAACTTCTTTAGAAGATGTAATTCGTTAATTTATTTATGATACATCATACATCCTGAAAAGACTTCTGGATTAGATGAAACTAGTATTATCTCCAGTGTTTCGGATACTATTTTTCTAATCTACATTGGAATTAATTTATTTTGAAGGTTAGAATTTACAATGTAAATAAATATTATTTTAAAGGTTATTATTAGGGATAATATATCCCACATCGGGACTTCAAGGGGACCTTAAGTAATATATAAAGGGTTAGGGTCACTCCACTTATCACCAATTATTCGGGTTTATTATGGACTTCCAACTTAAAACCAACTAGACCTTGACCCGCGCGCCAGCGCGGGTATGATTTTCCGGTTGTTGATTATTTATTTTATTAAATGATGTACTTGTAATACTTGATCATATTATATTCACTTAGCATATAATATTTTTGGCATGTTAAACCATCTATTGTATGATCAATCTTCGATATCATATAAAAAAATTAAACATATATAGTTAATTAGAG